TGTCATTGCTGCCAAAAGAATAACATACATGAGTAGAATCAAGAGAGTATGATATGTGAATAAACCTCTTTACCTTGGCCGTAAAGGTTTCCTATTCCAGACGTGTCGTTCCCTAGAGTATCATTTCCTTTTTCTTTTTTATTTAGTTTTAATTTTTATTATTTTATTTACACTAAAAAGACATTACAATAGATTATAGATTACAGAAAGGGAGATATTAAAATAAGCAATTACGAACTGATAAAAAAACAAAAAGATGAAGCTGAATATCCTCTAACAGTGTAATTAAAGTGCATGTAATTAAACCGAAAGGTAATATGAACAACTAGCACCAATGCTGTTTACTTCTACCTCAACAGCAATTTCTTTCAATCATATGCTGCTATTAATTAATCAACATGATCGTAGCAAGGGAAAGGCATGTATTTTCTTCATGACTTGGTTTATTATTTCCTCTCTCTGCGCTGCGCTCCTTTTGATTGCAAACTTATTTACTCGGCTCATTTCTATTTCAAGATATTAAAGCGAATATGGTAAAATAAAGAATGTTAGTACAGCTCAACATACAATACAGACGATTTAAATTTTTCACGACACTTATCTCGAACGGCAAATGAATACTCTCCACCTAATTGTGGAGACCAACTCTGCTTATTTCTTCGGGGATCAGATATAAATTTTACTAGGCTTCCATTTCAAGCAATTAACAATCACGGATAGAATAAAATTATAAMTTTGCAACAATTTCACACTAGGAGTATATGTATATCGTTAGGATTAAGATCTAAAGCATGAAATGGGGAAAATAGCATTCTGCAAACGTTTTTGATCATGACATAAGTAATCAAACAAAAGTTGTTTTTTTAAAGTAAACTGGTACCTTATTATTTGCCACTGAATGGGTAACACACAAGAGTCAGAACGAAGCCTGGGAGTGGATGAACAAACAATGAATCTTGAGATAAAACAAAGAATGCAGCTCACATGTGGAACAATACACATTGTTCACCATAATCCATGCTTTCTTTGTTTTTGTTATTTTGCCCAATCCAAAGCTTCGTTCTACCAGTGGACACCGACCCCACTCAATAACAAGTATGAAATTATGCAGGCAAAATACAAATGTGTGTTTTAGTGAGTGCAATCCTCGGAAAGTACAGCTACTGATATTTGTATTTGTATTTATAAAGTTTAAGATTTCTGCTTTTGTCCGATGATGACAGCATACTCCGCTGACTGGTAGGGAGCGGGTTT